CATCACCTGGGCAAGAGGAGGGGACAACATCCTCTGTAGACAGCTCCTTCTGCCCCCCCACACCCCCCGGGACCTTCCAACCGGGACCTAGCTCTGGGAGTCAGAGGGGGCCCCTACTTGATGCTTCTCAGTGAAGATGGCCACAGGCGCCCTGGGTGGGGAGGCTGGCATGGCCAACATGGGCGATTTTCCTACAGGAGTTTTCCCCTGGTGTTGGCTTCCTGATTTAAGTAGTAGGGATGTTGGGGGGCTTGGCGGGGGCTCATGCTGAGCCTGTAGAAAGATCTAGATGGTCTTCAGTGGGAGTTGGGAGGGCCTCAGGTGGGACAGGATTTCTTAGCTTCATTGGCATCCGCCATCTTTGGAGGGTGACATTTTTAGCTTCATAGTATCCCCTCTCACCAAGGTTCTGAATTTGAAATGATGTGCCCTGAACAGCTCTGTGAAAGGACACAGTGAGGTGGGTGAGAGCTTGGGGGCCATTGGTTCTGGGCTCAGATCCCAGCTCCACCACCGATCCTCGGCTTGATCCTGGCAAGTGAGCAGCTCCGAGCCTTGGTTTGAGTGGACACATGATTGAGATTAACATATGTATTTTGCAAAGGTCATGGTCCTCATTTACAGAAGGACTTAGAAGCAAAACTCCTTTTAGAATTTACTAAGTGGGAAGGACAAGCCTCTCAATGAGACAGATTTCACTCCATCGGCATGGCCCAAAGCGTGCTCTGTGAACCCAGGCTGTGCGGAGACAGCATGCAGAGGGGTCTGGTACTAGGAACTAACTTGGGGAAGGCTAAGTTAAGTACAGGTAAATGGCCGTGTTTGCTGCGGGGTTTTCCTAACCTTTACTAAGCCAAGATCGCTCAGGAAGCTCCACGCGTGAGTGACATGTGCCGCATATCCCCAGATTTGTATGCCCATGGAACTCTTTTGGCACAAAGCGTACCACATTTGGGACCCATCTGGGGAGGAGCTGTCATTGCACGCCTTTCTCTCTGGGCTCACAGGAAGAGTCTGTGTCTATCTGAAGCTTACACAGATTAACCACATCAGCAGGGATCTTGGTATATTTATACCCCACATCCACTCTGCGGTGCTGGTTTTCTGTTTTTGTTTTGCTGTATATATATTTTTTAGTGCAGGATGCCTCTGATGCTGGGCGGAAGTGAGGAGGTTGGGGATGGCATCACGTGGGGATAAAGAGACCACGGTAGTTCTCCAGACAGTTCTGAGTCTGTAGGAGCCAAGGGCAGGGTGCTTGGGGGCGGGTCATCACCACCATCATTACGATCACCCCTTGGAAGACTGGGGTGAATGTAGCCCCTTGGGGATTCCTTCAAGTTCTGATTATTTTGCCCCCGGCGAGGAAGAAAGGAGGGCAGGTGTCAGCATATTTATGTCCTGTAAGAGCTGCTTAAGAAAGTTAAAGCAACCTTGTGCTGGTCTCTGCCGACCTCAGAAATGACATCATTTCTATTGTTGCATTTAGCTTTGCTAAGAAAGACAGAGACAGCTGGGCCACGGGCTGGAAGTCCTGGCTATGGATGGGGTAGTCTTAGGTGTGGGGGAGCCAACAGGGACTAACGTCCAGTTCTGCCCCAGCCACGCTCAGAGCCATGGGCCAGCCAGGAGCCCACCAGCAGGTGCAAGGAGCACTGTCCCATGAAGACCAGAGAGGAGTCCGGGTGCCATCACCTCTTTCTTTGAACTCTGAACCCCCAATAAATAGGTTTCTCCCTGTATATGTCAGGTAATCCAAGTGAGTAGATGGGGAACTTGGAGAAGTTGCCCCTACCTACCCCTCCCCCTTTATTTCCCTGGAGCATTTTGACCTGTAGGGAGCAAACCATTAGTGGACAGAGAAATCAGTTTAGTGGGTTGTGACCAGCATTTTATAACATGAACTAGAATAGAAAGTACTAGAATGCGTCATTGGCTATAGTAGGGATTAAATATTATTTCACAAAAGATAGATAGGTAGGCAGAAAGGCATGCAGATAGATAGAAACGGGGTTGTGGTGGACAAGGTGTTACTGTGGGCCGTACTCAGTGACATCTGGAAGCTTCTGGCACCAGCTGGGAGGGCGCATCTTCTCCCCGGATCTGTTCTGGGATCTGGGGCCCAATCCCAACCGAGTTATGCCTCCACACCCAGAAAGAAATATACCCCGAAGACAGGTGCTTGTGATGCATCTTCCTTTGAAAAGACATTTTTGTGTCAATCAGACCCCTAATCCCGGGAGTCCCCGCTGGTAGAGAAGACAATCCCCCTCTGGCAGACAGAAAGTGGTCCCTGTCAGCTGGGGTGCGTCCTGCCAGACTCTGCAGGCTGCGTGAGGAGTGGGAACACTGGATTTGGAATTCTCAGTCTGGTTCTAATACTGGGCCTGCCAGTCATTTCTGTGTGACTCATGGCAAGTGACTTGCCCTCTCTGGGCTTCTGTGTACTCACGTACAAGGGGACCACTGGACCAGGTGATCTCTCTTCAAAGGTCTTATCTTGCTCTCAGAGGCATTCCAGGAGGACACTGAGAAAATCTGGATCTTGGAGGAAATTACAAAAGGGACGGCAGGGTTCCCCCAGGTTTCTTCCTAAGGCCCCTGAAGCAAAGGCTTTGGTCAGCCTGAGGCGCGTCGGCTAGGTGTGTCTGTAGACCTCGGCGGGGTACATGGCCGCTCCCTGGCAATGCCAAGGGTACACGATACAGAGGCAGCTGAGCCTGAGCCAGGTCTCCATGGACAGCATTTATTAGACGCCATTCTCAGTGTGAAGACAGATAGGCAGGAGGGGCGGAAGGGAGGCTGTGGCAGCCGTAGCCTTTGGGGTCCAGGGGCTGCCCGGGGTGGGGTGTGGGCGTTGGGGCCTGTCACCCACACGTATTGCATATTCTGTGGCAGTGTGCCCAGGCATAAGGCATTGGGGAAGCAGAGAGGCTGCCTGCAGTGGGAGGGCGTGAGGGGGGAAGCAACGCTGGCCTTCCAGCTCCCTGGGAAACACCCAGCTGGAGACCGAGCAGTCTGCCGTGCTCTGCGGAGGACCCTGGGCCTCCGTCCTCACCATCTCCCTGCGACTTTGGTTGTGGCTCCCTCGGGACTGACGGGACAGGACCCCTCGAGGGCAGGGTCACACACAGGACAGAGGCAGCCAGCACTGCCCCGCACCCCCACACAGAGACACAGAGGGCACCCCGGGTCCCGGGCCTTCTTCTCCTTGGCACCTGGGCAGCCAGCCAGCAACTCCACACAGAGACAGGACTCACACACAGGCTAGATTGCTCCTCTCTAGGGGTTCCCAAAGGCTGGAGCCCGTGGCAGGGGTTTGGCTAAGGCCAAGTGCCCTGTGGGTCCCCCACTCCAGCTTCCCCGAATACCTGGGCTGATCTTGCTCAGCCGTGGTAGAGGGCTGACATGGGCACAACACGGAGGCAGTCTTGAATGGGAAGAGGCCCCCCTGCCCACCCGTTGAGGCTGCCCGGAGACATGGGGCCAGCTCCAGCTATGGGCCCAACAGCGGCGTCTAGGGCCTCACCTCCCTCTGCCGCTCTGTGCCCGGCCTTTCTGGTTGCAGGCGGAGTGGGCAGTAGGCCCGCCAGGTCCAAACTCCCTACCTGGAAGGGGCGGTCCTTGCTGCAGCCTTAATTTATGTCCACTACCTGGGACACAGGCACCAACACCAGCTGCGGAGCCAGGGATGATGTCCCAGTAGGATGTACCTGACATTTCTAGCTCATTCTGCCCCATTCCCCAGCCCCACAGGCCCGGCTCCTGGCCTTTCTTCCACGAGCCTCAGGCCTGCTTCTCGGTCTGTAAGCAAGCAGTGCGGGAACTGAGGGCTCCTATCCAGCCTCAGGGGCCCATTCAGAAGGCCTGCCTTCTGGCCGGGTCGCGTAGAGGCTGAGCCCCGACACCAGCTCTGTCCTGGGGTCTAGTTCTGGTTGAAGCCCCAGGGGCTCACACAACACCTCAGTGCGCTGGGCAGGAGCCTCGCTTTCAGCAGTGGGCAGAGGAGTCCGAAGGAAAGGGAGCCGAGGCTCAGAACAAGCAGCCTGGATTCTCGTTCCCCTGGGCCTCTTGTCATCTGTGTCACCCTGGGCAAGGCACGTTGCCCATCTGGGTGTCCGTATCATCTGTGAAATGGGGGTGAGAACTCTCGCCCTGATGATCTAACCAGAGCGCTGTGAGAATGAATGAGCAGTCAGGACAGGGTTTTCGGAGGCTGAAACTCATTCTGCAGATTGAAGAGCTGATCATTGTCAGTAGTGGCTGGGGACGGCAAGTATGAAGTGTCCTGTTTGGTTCCCAGGGCAGTGTCTGAGGCTGGACTTGTCTTAGCCGGATGTGGTTGGAAGCCAGTGAACTCTCATCCACCACCCTGCAGACTGGGGGTTGGGGCTCTGCCTCCCCTTCCCTTCCCTGTCCCTCCTGTTCTTGCCTGTTCTTGCTTCAGTCTGCCTGCCTTCTGGGGACTAGCTCTAGGGACTGCTGGGTTTCCACTTTCTCCATTAACTGCAAAGCCATGCAAAACAACACAAAAGGTAGTGGGAGGTTGGGAGACACAGCTGGGGATGAGGAAGGGGAGTAGGGCTGAGTGGGGGTCACCTGAACAAAGACACCCTGGCCTTTGAAGCCTCGGGAAGGTAGGAGACCTGGCAGGACAGAGGTATAAATAGAGATGCAAACTTACACGGAACACGAAGTTCCCTCCGGATGGAGGAGGACGGTGGGGGGTGGTCTGGGTACCAGCAGGGCCTCTGAGAACTGGGGAGCTCCTTAGATTTCCAGAGGGATGGGAGGCTCCCAGCTTCTGCCTTCCCTCCCCCACCCCCTACCCCCCACCTTTCACATTTCTTGGAATTTGCGGGGCGCCGATGTCCCGAGACATCCTCAGAGCCCGGGCTCCTGCCAGCTGGTGCGCGAGCAGGCACAGTTGGAGATGGGGGTGCCGGGGGGAAGGTGGTGAGGGGTGTGGGGGGAACCCCATGGGGCCTCCTCCCGGACCCCGGTTGCTCCTCGACCCCCGCCCCCCGCCACTCCCAGGTGCTCCAGGCCCCCGTGGGGGCGTTCACACGGAGCTCCTGCGCTTCATGAGGCCGCGGAAGGTGGACAGGCTGTGCAGGCCCGTGGACACGGAGCTGATGGCCGAGCGCTGCGCCCCGCTGCACAGGCAGCGGTGTGAGGGCGTGTCGCTGTAGCGGCCGCCCCCTCCGGGCGACGAGTGGCTCTGCTCCACGCACGTGTCGGACGTGGAGAGGTCCCGCGGGATGATCATGGGGATGGAGTACTGCAGCTTCTCGCGGCTCTTGTACCAGAGGCACGAGCACATGGACTGGAAGTGCAGCACCTCGGCGTACACGTTGCGGAAGCCGCCGCCGCCGCCGCCAGCCGCGGCCGTGGATGAGGCGGTGTCCGTGGTGTGCGCGCTGCCGCCCGCGCCCCCGCCCCCGCCGCCCCCGCCGCCCCCGCCCGCCTGCCCGTTGCGCGTGAGCAGCGCGCGGTGCTCGGCATCGCGCTTCTCGTCCTCGGCGTTCATGGTCATGAAGCGCAGCACCACGAGGTTGAGGAAGGCGCCGATGACCGTGAGGCCCGTGAGGATGTACACGAAGCTGAAGGCCACGTACTGCGGCTGCGTCTGCAGCGCCTGGTCCTTCTGCAGCGCTACGTAGTCGCCGAAGCCGATGGTGGTGAGCGTGATGAAGCAGTAGTAGTAGGCCTGGAAGAAGGTCCAGTGCTCGTAGTAGGAGAAGGCGGCGGCGCCGATGCACAGCGTGCTGATGCACGAGAAGAAGCCGATGAGCACCATGTTGGCCATGGACACGTCGGCGCGCCGCATGCCTAGCCCCCTCTTGGCGCGGTGCAGCAGGTACTTCACGAAGGTGTTGATGCGCTCGCCCAGGCTCTGGAACATGACGAGCGTGAGCGGGATGCCCAGCAGTGCGTAGAACATGCAGAACACCTTGCCGCCATCGGTGCTGGGCGCCGCGTGGCCATAGCCTGGGGGAGGGTAGGGGAAGAGGAGAGAAAGCACTGCACTGCGGGGCTGCTCTTCCAGAAAGCCTGCCCTCCCCCCCCCCCCCCCCCATCTCTGCCCTCCACATCCCCGGCGTTGCAGATTCGGACCTCTCCTTCCAGCAGGAGAGAAGACAGCACACACTTAGGTGGCATCCTTGACCCCGTATGCTCTTGGTTTACTCGTAGGGTAGGTAGGAAGGAAGGAGGAAACAGGCATGGTTAAGTGACTTTTACAAGGTCACAGCCTTTGGAAGTAGAGCAGCCCATTTTTGAACCAGAGTCTGTTTGGCTTCAAAGATCTAGCTTTTCTAAATCTAGAGAAGGAGATGACACATAGAGCTGAGGGAGGCAGCAGGGAGAGTGAAGGGTGCCGGCAGGTCATTTGGGAAACGTGGGTTCTAGTTCAGTGTCTGTGGGCTTTTGACCTGTTCCTTGTCATCTCAGGGCCTCAGTTTCCTTGACTGTAGAGGATGCAGGTAGGATATCCCGTGATTCAGTGTGGAGGGGGGGAACCTGAGGCATGGATGGCTCCTTAATCACTTCCCTGCTTCCAGCCAAAGCTTATGAGAGGTAGCTGGCAACTGGGGCCTTCCAGTCTCCATGAGGCATCTGGTCGACCCATGTTGGGGGTCAAAGGGGACATTGCCTCTCTACTAGCTGGATGAATGATGCTCCAGGGTCTGCATCAGCCCCCCATCTGGAGCCCTGGGGTCATCCTCTGGGCCTGGCCCTGAAGTAGGGTCTGTCCTCATGGAGAGGTGACATTGCCCTTGTTAAAGCAGGGGACTTGCCTGTCCTTCCAGGTGGTACTGTCATCAGCCAGACAAAACAACCCCCTGTCTCCTCCACACTGCCCAAAGCCCTCACTGAGCCCGGAGCCAGGCAGAAACAAAGCCTCTCTCTGAGCCAACCATCAGATGGCCTTAAGTCAGGAGTTGTGTCTGGAGACCTGCAGGGGAAAGACACTAGATGGGAACTCAGAAGCCCTAGGGACAAGTTCTGGCCCTGTCATTAGTAGCTGTGTGACCTGGGGCTAATTACTCAGCCTCTCTGAGCATGTTTCCTCATTTGTAAAATAAGGTCTGCTGGTCCTGGACTTGCTTTTTTTCACTAAGCTATTAAGATATTTATTACTTTTATTAATAGGATTATTATAAAAAAATAATCCTGGTTGGCGGGATTTCCAATTCTTCCTCCTCTCGAAGCCTTATAAAAAATGTAACCAAATGCTTTTTCCATGCAGCTGTCCAGGATTCCTCACTGGAAGGGATCTTCTCTGCTTTGAGTGGCACTGAGAATGTTCAGCTTTGAACCCCAGGGCCAATATTACCACCATCCCTGCTCTGTCCCTTAGGTCCCCCAACTACATATGTCCCCCAACTAAACACTGGCTTGGGGTGGCAGGGTGGGCACGGCTGTACCTTGTCATGCTTCTTGCAAGCTTCCCCTCCCATTGCCTGCCACGCCCATGGAGTATGCCCAAAACATGTGGACAGCAAGGTAGGATATCCTGTGCTTTGATGTCTGATCCGAATTCAACTCCTGACTCTGCCATGGACTGTTTTTGGTTTTGTTTTGTTTTTTAAAAACCTCTGTGAGCCTTAGTTTCCACATGTGTAAAATGGGGCTAATAAGTAGAACCTGCCTCCCAGGGCTTTTTGGGAGAAATAAATGAGATAATGTGTATAATGCACTAAGCCTGGAGTCTGGTACATATCAAATGCTCAGTAATGGCTCACGATGATTAGCAATGAATGAAGTGGCAGATTTCCCTTTCTTTTCCAGGCTGGGGGGCAGCTCAGTTCTGGTCAACTTGGCATCTCTAACAGTCCAAGGCCATTTGAATCCTCAACCTCAGGGAGACCTGGGGATAGCTGCCTGGAGGGTGTGAGGCTGTGGGATGTACTTAGAATGGGCTCCCCTGCTCCCTACCAGGCCACCGAGCTGGTTGACTGTGTCATTCTGTGCCAGGGGCCTGGAGAGCTGAGCCGTTGAGCCGCCATGCCTGGCCTGTCTGCGTCCCAGCAGGGTGAGAACAGATTGTGCCCGCCAGCCCGGACACGGCAGCCAGACCACAACTCACCTCGACAGCTGGGCAGGCCCTGAGCCAGAGCTGCTTCTCATCCTGTCCTTTCCTGTCCCCTGGGGCCGGCACTGCCCTGGGTGTGGGGGAGGGTGAAACACTGTGGATGGGACTGGGTAGCTCAGGCCCAGCCCTGGCTTGACCACATACTGCCTGTGTGAACTTGGGCAAATCCATTTCCCTCTCTGGACCTCTTTTGCCTTGTCTGCACTCCGGGGGACAGGGAGTGGTTTGAGCTACTGCTGTTATACCCAGCCTGGGTGCCTGAGAACAGCGCCGTTGGAGGGGGGCAAGGGGAGACCGGAGCGGCAGGTATTTCAGAAACTGCGGGGTTTGTGTTGAAGCAGTGGTGACGGGATTTCATAGGAAAAGGCGACCTGAGAGTGTGGTCTGGGGGTAGGGTTGCCTCTGTGGGGTCAGTGACACAGAGGAGAAGGACCCCCTCTCGCTGTCACCACCACCTCCCCCTCTGAGGAAGTCTCTGACTTCTCTTGGATCTGCTGTCCTTTAGGGAAACCCAGCGTCTGCAGGCCTGGTGCACCACGGCTGCCGGCTGCCCACAAGGTCCCCCAGCTGCAGAGGGGACCTGGACTGAGTGCCGCCCCTGTCCCAGCAGACATGAGGCCACCTTCTTCCCCTGGGCCTGTCTGCACATGGCGACCTCCCTGCCTCTGCTGGCTCCCATCCTGAGTGCCCCTGTGTTTTCCCCAGCTCCCAGCCGGAAGAGACACCTCCTCCTTCCCCTGCCTGCCCCCTGGTGGTGTTCAAAGCAGTAGCACAGCCAGGCTTACCCAAAGGGTCTTATCCAGCCAGAGCTCTACCCAACAGCTCTACCCTCTGTCCCGTCCAGGGTGGCCCCAGGCTGGATGTGCCTCACCCTTGAGGTCAGAGGCTCCCCCACCCCAGGCCCATCCTCCCTCCCTACCACAGATTAAGGCTTAAGGTCTTATCCTTCAGATACATTTTAAACTTTAATCCTGAAAAACTTCCACAAGGCCATTATTATGACTATCTCTGTTTTATAGCTGAAAAAGGCTGGAGAGGCCTTGTGAGTTGGCCAAGGCCTCTAAGACTTTCTGACTCATCACTCATTCTAGAGCCTCAGAGCCCATCCATCACGCAGGAAGGGTGACTAGGATGGGAAACTGAGGCCCCGAGAGGAGAGCCCTCCCCTTGGAGCCTCATCCTTGGGCACTGCCCCGAGCCGGAAGTGACACAAGCAGCAACAGGAGTGCGGTGCCCCGGAGACCAGATGCGTCTGCAAGTACCTGGCCCAACGTCAGCGTGCTCCCGTCCCTTCAGCTGTTCCCTTGTCACTGGGTGAAAGGGCAAGGGAGCTGTGAGGACCTGCTGACGTGGGCGCCCAGCTGGGAGGGGTGCCAGCTGGGGTAAAGCCAGTCCCGGGGGGCCAAGGAACTTCTGGGAAGTAACTGGGAGTTTGGCAAGGCCTGTCTGCCTGCCAGCAGGCCCGCCGCCTGCCTGGGCCTTGCCCACATTGGGCGTGGGTTTACGAGAGAGGGGCCAAAGGTGGTCTCCACTTTCTCCTTGCTGTCCAGCTCTGTGAGGCTTTGGGCGAGGGGCTCTGTCTGTCCTTGTGTGTCACCCTGTTCTGGGGCTGAGTCCCTGAGAACCCTCCCTCCCAGGACCTGATGGACTGACCAGCCAGAACTCATGGCCCAACCACAAGACTCTAGCCACTGCCTCTCAGAGCTCTGGCCTGGGCTGTCCCTTTCCCCTCATCTCCCAGCCACCCTCCCTGAATCCTCAGATATATGGGATCTTAGAGCCAGGAAAGTGCTTCGTGATCCTATGACCCACTCCTTCTGTTGTATAGATGAGGACATAGAGGCCCAGAGAGGGAAAGTGAGCTGCTCCAGGTCACACACCCAGTGAATGGCAGAGTGAGACTATACCCGAGGGTCCTCAGTTCCAAACCCAAAGCTCTGTCCTCTGCCCTGTGGCTCAGTGTGACCAAGGTTGACTTGTTCATTCAACAAGGGCCGAGCAGCACCCACTTGCAAGCAACTCAGCTAAGAGATGGTTCTGGAACCTGGCTGGAGGCATAGAATTCACCTGGGGAAGACAGGTGGCTAGTCGTATTAATTAATTATGTGGTCAGACATGAATATGAATTATGGATATTTGGGGCAACAGGAAAATGAGAGGTAGGCAGGAAGCTCTGGGCCACAGTTTCTCTGTTTTCCTCCTGATATCACCAAGGAGCTCAGAAACTGGCCAAAGCTGTCTTCTGGGGAGATGCAGAGGGTTAGGGGCCCAGCCCCTGCCCCTTAATGGATTTTTCTCTCTCGGTGGCCAATTTCCTTCTAGTCAAAGCACAAATAGCTAGCCTGAATCCTTGGTGATGGCCTTTGCTGGACTGGGTTCAGCTGGCCATTCCCCACTGACTTCCTATGTCCCCTAGTCTGAGTGCCTGACCTCTTACCCCTGGCCTAGTCGGCTACAAAGCTAGAACTCTGGCCACAGCCTTGGGCAGAGAAAAAAAGCACAGGGCTACGGAGGCAGGAGATCTGGGCGTCTGACCTGACCCTGGCCATAACCAGTTTGGTGTCTTGAGCAAGTCCTTTACCCTCCCTGGGCCTCAATCTCCCTCCTCTGTGACATGCAGGATAGGGGAAAGATAAAAGGTTCCCATCGTTTTCCCTGCTGTGGATGCCCTTCTGTGATTTCTTTCTATTAACCCACCCATTTGTAGAATCTACATTTTGAGAGATGTTATTCATGAAGAACGAGGTGTTGATCAGTGCCACGTGGCTGCTGCATAGAACAAAACAGGCACTGGATAGATAATTGTGAAAGCAAGAATTCATTCTTTCCCCATGAAAATGAATTAAGAGCAGCCCTGCCAATCAGAACTTCTGATTAGCATGGGCTAACTGAA